GTGACTGCTCTAAACTAAATGGCTTTCTGTCAGAAATCAACCAGTGGTCCAAGGATAATGGTCTTACCTTAAACCCCTCCAAATGCCAAACAGTCAATTTCACCTTTAGGCATAAATCCGACCTAAACAAACTGGTTGGCTCCCACGAGGTGTGCAACATAGACGGCACTGAAATAGAAACCAAATCGGAAATTAAATACCTAGGCGTCATTCTATCTGCTGATCTCTCCTGGTCGTCTCATATCTTAGCGATTTCTAAGAAAATATTCCGTCTTAACTTCTACATTAAGAAATTAAAACATTCTGGTATAACCCAACCCTTACTCCTACAATTCGTTAACCCTCGCATTCTGCTTATTATTCTCTATTGTTCCCCCGTAGTTTTTCCAGGGCTACTGAAGAAAGACTATAACATATTACGCAGGATGTTGAAGGTTGTCAGCAGGGTAAGCAACGTGCCACTTAACCAGCTTGTTAATATTCTGGTTGACAGGCACATGGACTCATGTGAAAAATGGGTCAAATCCATTTTATCTAACTCACACCACCCTCTTCACTCACAACTCTCCCCTTGCATCTCATCAGGTAGAACAAGAAGCCAATACAGAAAACTATATGCTCGCACCAGCAAGTACAAAAACTCAACCATACCCTACTTAGCTCGTGTTCTGTGCGATAAAGAAAGCATTAGGCGTGACACCTATAATTCATTAAATAGTCAGTAGAACAACTGGACCTCGTCTTTCCAACTCATAACATTTAAAGGTACAACATTTTCTTTCTTTCTTTTCCTATTCTCTCTCTCTTTCCGTTTTATGCTGCTTTGTTTCTTTCTCTCGCTTACGCCAGTAAATATGACAGCACCTAACTTTCTAACACCTTCACTGTTCAACTTTGGCTTTGCTACCGACATGCCAATATGTTGTTGTCAAAACTAACTGAGATTTCCTTAATCTATGTAGAATTCTATTTATTGATAATGTACTAACTGGATGCAATACTGTGGCAAAAATGTTGAGAATTCCATTCTGTATCACAAGTACTGTTTTGGAATAAAGCAAATTATTATTATTAACACTAGTACTACTACTACTACTACTACTGATACTTCTATTACTAATCGAATAATCTGTTCATATATTTACTCGTCAAAAATGAAGAAGCATATAGTTAGTTAAAACAAATAAAATTCTAAATTTAAAATGTACAAATGGCAGACAATCAACTTGACTTGTAAGGGAACACACCATAGAAATGAATTGTCGGATTATTGTTGCGAGAGCTTTTAAAACTTCCGATTCAGTTAGACTGAAGAAACAGCCCTTTGTAAATGTGTGAAAACAGTTCACCGTCACCCTTAAACCAATTCGGTAAACATTGAAGTGAATTTCCAACGTGCGAATTTGCACAGAAGTCAAGTAGATCAAGTTACTACATTCCACAAAGTATACATAAGACACACACAAATAAAACCAAATGCAAATAAACACAAATATGCTGGAGAGAGAATAATATCATGGTGATTAATGATCGTTTAATAAATACAGATCACAAAGTGTGATTTTGAGCGATATCACCATCATTCTGCAGTCACGCAGTCTAAACCTCCCAACCAGTCCCTTCCAGCACAATCCCAAGTAATATAACAATACTCGACGGAGAAAGCAATGGCTTGGTATGCACGATACTTCTCTTGACCATTTCAATCGGCGCAGCTTCATAACCTTGTCGACTAACTTTCCCTACCTAATTAATACTCGAGAGATTTGGACTACGGACAGACTGGTTGAAAGCCGATCGATTAAACTTATCAGTAATGTCTTCCCCAGTTCAGAATTATTCAGTAGTACATAAAAAGTAATCACTGCTTGAAGGTTATCAGTAACATAGAACTGTGTAAAGCAGAATAAGTCGGATAAATCCTACGATACGGTTAGCTGCATATTAATCACATAAATGATCAAACCAGATACTGCAAAGATGTACACACCAATTATAGTTTGTGGATAGCAGAGTATAGGCAGTGAATTGGTGAATGATACCTAAAATAAATTTTTTATTTTGTTTTATTTTTATTTTTGATTGCAGCTTGATTCCACACCGTATTTTCTGTACAAATATGAAATTCTCAGCATGCGATATCGGTAGCCCAAATATTGCAGGCCGACTACTGATATCAGGTATGCGTCGGCAGGGGATCGAACGCCGGACCATGTGCATGGTCGACGAGAGTCCTAACCACTGTGCCACCGACGCACATCTTTAAAATCTCTGTCTTCATTTAAACTCATATTATTGCTGGAATAAAGCGACAAGCATTAAAATCTAATGAAGATTTTTTTCTCTCACCCAACTATAATCTTAAACAGGCGAACCAACTCAAACTTCTAATGTTAGAAAGCTATTCTGTAGTATTTTACATTGTTTCATTAAAAATTATCAACAACTGAGACTCTTATCACACAGTTCAATGAAGTGAAAGAACTTAGCCTCCGATGAAGCACATATTACTCAATTCTCAGCAATCTAGCCGAACTAAGACACAAATTGTTACTGATTCTTTAGACGGCATATTATTTATATGAATGTACAGTACTTTAAACTACACATAAGTTATCACAGAGCATTGGAAAGTCTTTCCGTCGCATTGTGATGGTCTTCAGAAGTGCTCACCCATAACCGGACTAGATGTCAAAACTAGTCCCTATAGATTTTAAGAGGAGCACATTACAACTGCCCCACAGTGCTAAAAATCCAGTCTCATGGATTTCAGCTTCTTTTGCTTTGGGATATAGGGCCACAATCATTCAGTGTCAGTGAGTATCTGTCCTCACAGTCACATCACAGGTCACTACTTCTTGTTAGAATCTCATAACATTCGTCTCATAGTCAGTCACTATTGAACACTGGAATAATTTTCAAGTTTTAGGTCACTGGAAATTTTATTGACTGCAAGGTAGATTTCATCAGGAAACAGTGCTGCATTGCAAACTAATAGAGAGAGACGATTTAATAAGATACTAGATTTCAACACAATGACTGAATGGTTAACTGATTTCTTTGTAAACTGAAGGGTGGCAGACCACCGGACAGTCCCAAACTGAGAAAATAATGCCTATTCTTCGCTTCCTAGTTCTCATTGGTCCCCACTAAATGTGTTGGTTTCAACAATGAAATGATTTCAATTATCCATGTTTTTTAAAGGTAACTAATTTTTCCAAGTTATGGGTTTAATAAAATAAGTGAATGAATAATTAACTTCAGGTAGGCAGTAGTAATATGACTTACAACACTTGATTTATTCGACTGAGCATGCTGGATACATCCTAGATACAAACTGAAATGTGGCAAATTCCTTTCAAGTCCTCCAAAACTAAGCAGTTATTTATTTCGGTGTAATGAAAACATGCTGTGCAGTTAGTTACAAGCGTTTCCAGAGTTGTAAGACAAGAATAAAAAGATGAAACTTGCTGCTGTTGGACGTTTCAACACAAACTGTTAGATTAAGTAATATCTCTATACCCAATGTAAGTCTACTTATCCTTGCTGTCATTTATAGAGATAGTGCAATTAATAACAGAATGTTGTCTAGGGAGGAGCACTGTTCAAATGGTAAAGCAGTAACTCATAGAGTTATTCTTCTGTTATACATATCACTTTGATAATAAATTCTCTGTCATTCTATATAGACTGTGTGGTTAAAGAATTACCACTTACAAATAGTATTGTAATTATAATAATAATGCTCATGGGATGAGCATAAATAATATATATGCATATGGTACCTCCATGCAGTGCTAGAAAATCCCGAATATACTGATAAAGAAATTAGTTGACTTCCCAAAGAAAAGTTAATAACGATTTTACTAAAACCTTTAAACTTTTATGACTCCAATTAAATCAAGTCAGTCTGCTCGAATTACTAGCCTAACTGAATTTTCATCTGAGACAATGCATCTTAATTTCTTGTTGTAATAATCACTTAGTTATATCTGTAGGTTGCTAAATGTATTTATGCACATTTTTAATTGGTTTTCCCGGATCAGAGACTTGGCGCGTCATAAAGAGCATATCAAACAAACTACAGACCTTCTCACTAACAGTTTTCTTCGCTCATTACTCAAGATCAGATGGCTGACCAGAAAAGATCAGCAACAGCGAGGGATCTCTGTCAATGAGCGAACCAACACAGCAGGAACCGATTGTGAAACAGATAGGCAGGAAGAAATGGAGATGGATTGGTCATACTCTGAGGAAACCATCAAGTGACATCATTAGACAAGCCATTGCTCGAGTGGAACCCGAAAGGGAAGCGGCGAGTTGGTCGTCAGTGAAAGCGTGACTTTGAGAAGGTCATGTGAAGAGGAGATGAAAACGTGTGGGCAGACTTGGAGCCAGGTGAAGACTCTAGCAGAGAACCGAACGCAATGGAGACGCACGGCTGAAGCCCTATGTTCTTCTAGAAATTAAAGGAAACAATAATAACAAATCAATTGGTTTTCAACCTACCATTGCTTATTGCTGGGAGACCAAAGAAAAATTCCATGAAGGATTAATTTATTCTTCAGATAAAACGGCATTGAATCACATGGTATACTGGAGGTGACTGTTTCACTTGAAACTCCCGGATGAATAGAAAATGTTATGCAATAAACTATTCTGAAAATTTTGAATACTGTGTAAACTAATTGTGCAGAATAAAGTTGTTATTATTATTAATTATTCACTAAATGACATCGATGAGATTTCTAAGTAGTCTCTAACTATAACACTGAATTTAGTCTTACGATGAAATTTTCCCCACCAATTATAATAGTTAGTTAATCTGATACGTGCGTTGGTGGCACAGCGGTAGAATGCTGTCCAACTACGCATATGGTCCGGGGTTCGATCCCCGGCCACCGACGCACTCCTTTACCTCGCTAAGCCACTAATAAGACTGGTACAGAGGGAAGGTTGGACATGAGGCTAGCAACCCCATCCCCTGAAATTAAACGCCACTGCTATCGAAACTTCAAGCCTCTAGCTTGAAGCCCGATGTTCTACTGAGGAAGTAATGGAATAAAAAAAATCTGACATTAGAATAGAAAAAAATGAATTTAAACAATAGGCAGTATAACAATAAGTGGAAAATTATTTCAAAGGAACAGATGGCACAGTTGAAGACTTTATTGTGTGAACAATAGCAGTTATGAGTAAAAAAGCAAATATTCAACAACAAGAGACATTGTGTCATATGATAATCATAGATCTTTAAGATGAAAATCTTCGTATTAAACAATGAAAATAAGTCATATAATTGTAGAATAAAATAAAGTTACACATATGTTTCAGTCAACCCTTCATTTCACTTCATTGCTAACATGTCGACTCAGAGTACTGAATTTACTTAATTTGAGATCTGGAACACTGGGCCACTGACTTGATTCACAAACCTCAGGTTCACTTAAAATTGACTTAATCTTTTCATTGACAATTTCATCATCAGAATCGCATGTAGAATGTAAATAATTGTTTAAATATTCTTCTGACATTTCCATTAGTATTTCTGCTTCGTCTAATTCTTTAACCTTTTTAGACATATTGACTTTTCCCATTAACTAGAAGAAGAAGAAGAAAAGAATGAATCAGTGTAAATTTAGTTAAACTAACGGTTAAAAATGAACTTAAGGTTGTATATCAAAAATTAATTGAAAATAGCCACCCAGGAAAGTTCATCATGAAACCTATGGCCAAGACAGTAGAAAAGTATTCTTCCGTATCTGCTAACAACAAGTCGTGACATCTACGACTGCAATTCAAAGGTGTTATTCCAAACGAAATAATAACCAACAAGCTGAGATGATCGATTCGAAGGACTTTTAATGCCCAGTAGGCTGCAGCTTACTTTATTCACACGATCGGTTGTGATTTCTAGACTGAAAGACAAGGTACCTAAGCTAGACACCTTTCATTGTGTCTATTAATTCAGCAGCTCCTGTGGAGTCATTTATATTAGTTGTCACTCTAGGAACTTAGTCTTCCGTCCTCGGAAACACAGCACTGTGGTTGAATAAAGGTGTGGTGAAAGCCTTCAAGAGTTCTCTATTAAAAGACAAAAGGAAATTTGAGCCAAGAATATTCCTCTAGATAATTTCCTTTTCCTTATAATTAATTATAATAATTATAATTAATTATAATCAAATTATAATCAGCATAAAAATGTAATTGTGAATAAAATATCCTGCTAATTGCCTCCGACCATCTAATGCCAACAATTCATAGTGCACCATGATGGCGAACCACCTAGTATGGTGGCCACATTACAAGCTTCACTGATAGAATTCAGTCTGCACCGAAGATAGGACTAGACACATTACACTAGTTACTGATTAGTGTCCAATCAAGAATATCAAATAAAATTTAGGAATTTTCTACAACAAATTAAGGATCATTAAAACCTTGATGGCATTGTTAAGGAAAGCGTTTGAACCAATTACTTTTGGACACATAGATCAGGCTTTTTAATGTAGATTCTAGTAGCCTCAGCAATATGCAATAGACGAACTCTTAAGGTAAAATTACGATTAGCTGGTATATGGCAAACGACTTTCAAAACATTGTTTACATCAATTTTGTGTCCTGTATCTACGAGATGGGACAGTACAGAACTATGAAAGGAAGTTGTTCCTCCCTTACTTAACCACACGAGATGGTGTTTAGAAATCTGATGAAAAGCACGCCTAATTGTTCAGCCTATGTAGCTGGCTTCACAGAAGCAGTCAAATTCATAAACTACCTTGTCCAAACAGGCAATTAAGGCAGTATTGTAGAATCTTTCTGAATCATTTACAGGGTACCAACCGAATTTACAAAAGCCTATCATTACCGAATATTACAAACAGCAGAGGCAATTGAAATTCGCTTAAAATAACCAGAGCTCTGTATGCAAAAGAAACAGGTCCAACCACTAATGATACACTGCACTGCTTTGGAAACCATAAATTCATAAATTCCCCTTTATTTTCTTAATTTATCTGGTATACAGTTTAATATTGCATGTTTTATGCATATCACCACTTATAGATGCTATGCAACTGTAGCCTATCGATATTATTGCTTCAACATTATTTAAAATATTAACGTTGTCAATAACAATATTTCTTGAATTACTTCTGCCACATAGAAGCAGACCCCGATGACAAATTTATCAAAATGAATCTTCTTTACTCACTAATCAGTTGCTGTTGTTTTAACGGGCATCGTTAATCAGTTAAAACACAAATGAATATTACTCTAACAAAATATCCTCTATTAGAGTGAGTTATCCCATTCGCATAAAATTCAATCAATAGGTTATTTAACAATAGTTAAATTTTCCCCCAATAAGAAGTCTGTACAATAAAAGAACTAAACATTTTACACATGGAAAGGCTGAAAGTTTTAAAATAAATACTTCAATGAATGGTCTTTAGATTAGCATAGTGGGTGTTAGATCACTAATTTATTTCATTATCTGGTTTTCTTTCCATGCTAAAATAGTTCTTCTGTTGATCGAACATCTTTTAACTGCAAATTAATTTAGCTTCCGTTAAAATTCACTACATAATTCAGGAGTTTATTCTAAAATGAAGTGTTCTCAGACATTGAAACTCTGAGCTACAAATATCCCTTGCCACTAGCATGTGTGTCGGATAAATTACTACTCTAACTTTCTCCTTCAGTTTACAGATTTGGCGAAACTAGTTTTGATCTTAGATGTTAAAAGTCATTTGCCAGAAAACTTTAGATGTAGAAAAATGGGACACAAGTATTAGGACCACCACTTTTCAGAATGAAGTTTATTTCATAAAAGGAATGGGAAACAACGGTACTAAACTTGAATTCTCGCTTAGAGACAGGAAAGAAGTTTGAAGGGCACTTGACAATCTTCATATTTAGTATACCTGCTTACGTTTAAAACTATGTGGAGTGTTTCTATTTTAATTTTTAGTTTAGGCATCAGAACGATAAATTAGCAAAGTAGGGAGGAAGAATCAATTGTGAATAGCTTGACAGCAGTTTGGACGCGATATTATAGTTGATAAATCAAATTGTAAATGTGACAGTTTTAGTGGCACACAGTCAATACCTTGTTATAGCTTTTGATGGATTTTGTAGCCGATTCAACTGATTCTCCGCATTTTGCTGTTACAAGTGAAGTTGTTTGTTTTGTTTGTATGGCATTCATCTGGCCACTAAAGCCAAACATTTTACGTTTTAGAGAGCGAATCTTAGATAATTGCTGAGCTAATGGTCTACAGGCAAACATTTTACCCTCTCTAGCCATTTTTTTAAGCTCATTCTCTAGTTGCCTTTCTTCATTTTCCAGTTGAGTTATGTTGTCCTGTATCGATTTTTGTATTGAATCTCTGTCTTTTTGTCCTTTCTTGTGAGCCTTTTCCAATTTTCCTGACACTGTATTCGACATTATTGTAGTTTAAAAGTTCCGTTTATACCACCAGAGAAGATGTTGTACTGAAAAGTAAAATGATATTGATGCTATTTATACTGATTTAACAATATATCAGATGAAATAATAGAACTCTTTATCTATATATATATATATATATGTATATATATATAGACTTCATCAGAAAGCAACACCAACTATGGAACTGTTAAAAGCTAACTGCTTCGTTTCATTTTATGGGTTATCAGAACCTTCTCGAAGAGCGTCATCATTAAAATCCCGTATTTTCATTTGATGGACAGTTAAAGGTGGCAGCTATAAAACTGACTATTGATTATTAAATTAAGAGTTTAAAACAATACTGACTGAAGTTATTAACAGTTAAGATGAATTACTTGATAGCCTGTAAATTAGTTAGAAATACTTGAGAAGTAGTACTCACTTGGGGGGATTTAATCAAATCCAGGCACTTTAGGCATAACCCTACTAATTTGACAACGTTGGAGTCATTTCCCTCAGTGTCAGGGTTGTTTCAAATAATTTGGTTAATTTCAAAGTCAACTACACAGACAGATTTTTAGTGTTGAGCACTGGCTCAAAGGATGCATTTACTCCGGTATGCAATTCGTTCAATCTGCTGCTATTGTAATTTGATGAATATACCGAGATTTTTACATATTAGCTGTGGTTCGGTTTCTATCAGTTGTATTTCTAATTAATTATAATTATAATTCAATAGTTTACACACAGTGATCAGTTTCTGTGTGGTTATATTTCGAGAGAACTTAATGCCCGTGATCACACTAACTACTGAAATAGTTTTTTAAAATTTATAATGATCAAATAGGTGTTCTTTCTTGAAAGTGAGTAGGATATATTTTCTTTATTAGTCACACTAGATAACAATCCTATAAATAAACCAGCCTAACCAGATAATTAAAGTAACTTTTAAATATGTTTATGCCATAATACTCTCTTTTTTCAGATACTGAGATAATGATATAACCTCACAACCATAACTACGACCAGTTGGTTAAAGAGCCAAAGTAGAACTACATTTTTACATGAAATACATATCATGTACGAAAGGGAATGGTTTGTACTACCAACTGTTTAAGAGAAAATTCTCTGTCGGAATTATTATTCACTATTAGTCTTTGGAGCTCATATCTGTACAACAAACGACATGAAGTGTGGTTTTCTAGTACTTGTTGGCTAAAGGATAATGTAAGCCACCAAATACAAAAAACATTTATGGTTGATAAAACTGTTTTTGTTTTGTACGATTATAGTGAATATTCAACAAATGCTGAATATAACACACGAACTAGTAACTTATCTTGCAGAACGCCAACATCCATCAAAGATGAGGTGAAATAGTAGGGTAACCATACGGCTCTTTTGTGTTTTTGGAAAAACAGTCACACAGAGGGGATGGCATTTTATTCTTCTCTGAAAGTTTACCTACCTTTTGTTTTTAAGTGATGCCTTTCACCACTTGTTGGTGTATAGCAAACCGGGTTTAAATAAAGTGATATGGTAAAATTTTAATTATATTTTCTTCATTAAACAGTTTCAAAGATCCGTTTCATCAAGGGATTCCTCATAATCCAAATGACTGGATAGCCAACTGATTAATCGACGTCTAACTTTGTGTAGACGTGAAACGTTTTTATTTGTCACACTTTGAACAGTGTGAAAAACAGAAATAGAATGAGCTAGATGGAATGATGACACAGTGAGCGAACTTGAATAAGAATTGCATATTAAAGTGGTGACATCCTGAAATTCGAATGTCTGGTGTGAATGACTTTGCCCCATGTTATGGACTACTGACTTCTAACACCACCAGAACTCCAGTCTCATGACTCACACCTCTTTATGTAGCTCTCCAAAACAGACTACAAACAGATGAATTTGTGCTGTATTTGGAAGCTAAATCGTCTAAGTCTTTTTCAAAGTGCCTTTTGCGTATGTGCTTATACCTGGTTAGCAATTAGTTTACTAGGTGTGATACATAATCAGGAGTCGCGAAATGGTAGATACCCAGAATAGCTTTACTACCCTTTTACTTTAGGTCAGTCAGAACTTCATTCTGGCAGCGATGAGGTTTCTGAAAATTCGAATTCAACTAAAGTCAGACATGATAGCACATTTATCACATAAATGAAATAAAGTTGGTGGCATTGGACATCTTTTTCATACAACATGTGTAATTTTTATTTTATTGGATAACCTTACATAAACCTTTTTAAAAGTATATTTTCCGTAAAGTGCATTCATTGACACAATACAACTTCTTGACGCTAATTTTACGGCTAGAGAGACTAGCAACACCTCTAGGACAAGGAAGGTGTGATGTTCCTACTCGAAAAACTAAGGGCGTATCAGATAGCGATAAATTTAAGGGTAAAGATTCAATTAACGTGGCCTCATCAGTGGACGAAACTTGTTTGATCCTACTGACTGTTTTATTCCAAAGATGCCTTTTGTATTCTTATGATAGTGGATTTGTGGACTTCAGCAACCAGTCAAGCTGCTCTGTTTTGTTTACCATAGCAAAAAATACACAATAAACATGCGTATGCATGATTATTTTTAAATTACGGAAGATGAATATTTAGTAGGTGGACTAAGGTTTTTGGATACAGAATTCCAAAAATGAGCACACGGTTTCCTAACCATTATTTGAATTGTGAAACTGTAATAAAGATATGATGTTGCATATAACTGCTAGGAGAGTGAAAACTGACCTACTTGTAAGCTACGGTTAAAAATTGGAATTCATACTATCTATTGCTTAAATGTTTATTTCTGCTTCCTTGAGAACTGTGACCACAGGCTTCACTGCATAAACCAATATTTACGCGCTTATTGGTTTTATCTGCTCGAACAACTTGGTTATTTGTAAAATGATCCCTCGCAAACTTCTTATACTGGTCAATTACAATCCAATGGTTCAAAAGCAGTTAATATAATAACTTCACCTAGGTAAAACCAAAAATTTCACTTTATCAACAACCAACTATGAATTGAATTAACAGCGACCAAAGCCTTTACGAATTATTTAAAATCATTTTAGCGTCTGTTTGAAGATTAGTACAAACCAAACTGATTTCTTTTCTCCCTTTTCTTGGTAATAATAGAAAGGTTCCTGGTCTTCGGTGAAATTCTATGTGTCAGTCATGCTCTTTCACCCGCTGTAGCATTTGAGAATTCCGTTGGAGGTTGGGTAGTTCTGAATGGTAGATTATGGTCTGTTTTTAATAGTGATAGCTTTATCCCAAAGTGTTTTTTGGGACAAATATGGAATTAAGTCTGTGATTATTGTGTAACAGGAGTTAATCTGTTCACTAATCAGCCGTTTGGTGCAGTTCAGAAGAATCAAAAGCGGTAATAACGAAATTAGAACAATAACAACAACCATAATAATTATTTCCCAAGCGAAACATCAGTCATGTTTAACTTTCGAACACCATGGTGTTTTCTCTGCAGAGAAAGATTGTGAATACAACTTTACAGGTATAAGAAAGGTGGCACCGTTGTTACATTGTCGTATGTAAAGATATGTCCTTGTTATAATATCTAGGTTTGTTGCTGAATGAATGCTAGCGTACAAAATAAGATAAATTGAATAAAATATATTTTGAATGCCTATATATCATCCAGTGCTACTGAATACTGCAGCATTCAAATTATAAGCAAAGTCAAAAATGGAAGTAAAATAAATGAAGTTATGTCTGGAAGTCATGCATTTGAAACAACTAACCTTTTGTTTCAGAAAACTCTGAAAATGCTGTGTATGATTAAGCACGTTTTATTTATCGCCTATCGAATAAACAAAGAAAGAAACACCAGCTGAAAATTGTTACCCTATTTGAAAAGTGAAAACCACTTAACGACCTTGAAAAATATAAATTTTCCACATCATTGTGCCCAATGAAAATACGAGGAAATAACGTTGAACTTGAATGTTTTCGACGTATAACCTGTATGTATTCAGTTTACCTGAGATAAGTTTACACAAACTTCTAGTTTGGGAAAGAAGACTTGCAAGTTGTTTAAATGATTTTCTTAATGAATTTCCACTTCTGCTTTTGAACCTACTGACTGAAAGAACAAAAATCACTCCCTCGTGGAATTGACTGGGATAATCAGTTTTCCATGGAGTTGTAGTTCATCCTTGACTTTTGGCCACCCTATCCGAAGCTTCTGAAAATTTGCAGCCTGATGGTATGAAGAGACAGGATAAATTAGGAATTATGTCATTTCCTAAAAATCCTTAATGCCGTGTTAGGATCATGTATCAACCTGCAGAGTGCTACCGTAAAAAGATTATGAACTAAACTAAATTACCACCGTAGGACTCCACACAATGATGGACCACTTATGGTTGAGACACTTGGAAATTCATGGAAAATTCCCATTCAAAATACTCATAAAGTTGCAGGAAAAATACGATGAATCTGATGGATGTGAAGATGTACAGGAAGATGGATAATTCTGTGACGAATAATGCAGAATCCTAAAGATCACATGAAGTGAATGAAACTTCATTGATGAGAGGGATATTTTTCTTCAGCATTCTCAGTCTTCCCACGTGTCCATTCTTTGAACCCTCCGTCTTAAGTGCGCGTTAGTTATCTATTAAAAATTGGCTGGTTGCTTGGATACAGTTGTGAACATAGCGCTGACTGCAGGAGCATTTAGCACATTTCCATAAGGGTTTGAGAGTCCTAAACTACAACACGGTAAACGAGACTTACTGTGACATAAATGTGTGAATTGAAAATAAGCAGAAGAGTTTTTCCTGTTCTTCTCATGCACTGACATTTTTGTGCCCCTGTACATGATTGTAAACTCTTATATTTTATGGCAAATATCTATTCCATATAGCGAATGAGCAGGCCATTAGGCGTGTCGTTCCCCTGGGGCTATCCAAAATATCAGATTATCAACATAGACCAATTGGTGCAACATATTTATTTTCGGCCTCACTGTGCAATTTTTAAGGCCTGTTGTGCTGATGATGACATATACAAATGCGAAAGTAGGCTAACATTCTCTAACTTTATGCACGAAGAACGATCTTTCTGTCCTTTATGGGCAACTTTAGAGATGGTGGATTAGGTTAACCTCTCGTGTAGTTGCTTGAAATGACTCCCTGTATCTATGGATACAATTTATCACGAGGAGAATTGCAGAGATTATGGACCCTTGATCAGTCTTTTACATCACTTATATACGATATTTTGTGAATAAGTTAGTTTCTTCTTCCTTAGGTCTTTGTCTGCCAACTTCTCCGTAATCTACCTGCCACATCTGTGATGGTATCTCCCGGATCACCTCATTTGTCCATTGGTTGCAGATGACGGTCATGATTATGTGGTGATAATTTGTAAGCTTTCAAGATCATCAAAAGAGCCCAACGCAGTTTACTTGTTCAAAAAGCTGAAAATATTGGTACATTCTATGATGAGCTCATTCTGGTGCGTCGGAGGTCACCCCAAGGATATTCAGGGGTCGTGAAGCTTAATGAGTTCACAACTCCAACGTTTCATCACAAGGTCCCGCATTTAAGGAGTCATTTATTCGGTTCCTGTTCTTCATATTTCCTTTTCGCATCACCAGCTAGATGTAGGTGAACACGCTTGTAGATACCCTGTTCATGATCAATCCTCCGAGTTGCTTCTCTACCAGCCTTAGAGTAAAGGCGTTACTTGAAAGATTCTTGGTGAGACAGACTTGTAGTCTTCAACCAAATTGAAACAAAACCAAATTGTCCCAGATAAACTCGGAAGGCTCCATAACAAACCAAATGGTTCCAAATAGGACTATATGGGGGTCCCCGGCGTCGAAACATAAGCAGTGCACTAGTCGAACCCAAAATTAGTTGGAAATAACAATATACCAAGTTTAGCAAGGAACGCACAACAGTCCAGTGGAGCACGAACGGTCTAACTAAAATAAAATTCAAATTGGTACATGAAGTACAACTCTAGTGTCTAAAAGTGAAAGTATTAGAATTCACACTTGGGACTCACTAGGAATTTGGGAAACGCGTGGGTTTTCTACTCACGGAACCATCATTTAATCCTATTATGTACAGACTATTAATAGTGCGTCTGATGCTGGTACTCAGTGTTTCTGACCTGCACCAATACCAAGATCTCGTTCGAACTATGGACTTCAGATCTCCAATTGACTATATCACCCTGGAGAAAAGTGATGCAGCCAAGTATTGGTAAAGCGCGGATTTATGTATTTTACTTTGTCAGTAAATTTATTATTTATCCCTGGATAATTCAGGTGTACGCAAGTTACCTTCTTCCAAGGAGTCAGCTGTCTGCATAAAACGAAAACGAAATGCGGATGTCAGTAGAAGCGATCAGCAGGGAAACTTTAGGATATCAGACATTTTATCTGGCTAAGTATCTGGGCTGAAATTCCAGATCTTGTGCAGGACGCCAGTGCGCCCTCCACCATGATTTTCTTGACTTATAACCAGCAGCGATCCCATCACGTTTTATCTGTTTCCTGTTCTTAGGTCACCTTTTTACCTTAAACTTCAAATGCCTAGCCTTAAAGACTGGAGATGGTGTGTGTTTCGCTTTCATATGTCGGAATTCATTTGAAGGGTTAATTATTCAGCGTCATTTTCTGCTCACTTTTTTTAGGATGCAATCAACTTATTATCTGACAGACCTATAGGGCACCAAAGATTTGATGACCCAAAATTTAAATGCATGGTGACTCTATATTTTCTAAAATATCGAGGCATTAATTTTTAGAGTGGAAAACCCGCCCCAGTGCATTCTATGGAACTCAAAGTCCCGATGTCAGGTTATCACTGTAAAGAAATTATGCGACTCTAATTGAACTACTGTCCTTCATTTTTAAGTGACGGGTCACAATGCTCTGTATTTCCGAACCTACAACACCGATAATAAAGTGTTAGAATCATCAGCGTGAGCCATATTTTTCAAGACAGCCACTGTTTAGTGGAAAATCACAATCTAGCCTGTAGTCCAATTACAATGCTAGGCCACTAACGATGTAGACTATCACACTAGCATGACATATTAAGCCCAGCCAGCGCACAACCTAGTCCTAGAACATTAGATTCTAAAGGCTATCAAACAAGCCATGCGTATCTAAAACAATCAGTAGGGTCAACGAATTACCCTAAGTACATATGTACACATAAATTTGGAAGCCATAACAGATTTGAAACATTCAGTACTACATGCCAGCTTCAGCAGATGGAAAAAAGTTGTTTCCACGTAAGCTATGCATGCTGGAAAATCGTTTTCCACATTTTGACTCCGTGGTTCCTGAAGGTTCCAATGGTGTTCATGTGTGGGTAGGCACTCGAAAAGATATTCAACTTGGCGACGGAAATGTTGTATTCAGTGTAGGTCCTATGCTTTTATTAATAAACCAAATACTTCATGAGCAGGTGATACTGAGCCTTAAGTTTTTGCCACTGGTGAATAATTAAGAATTGAGACACTGCTGTCAAGCAGATGGGTGACGAAAGAAGTATGGAAAACAGCGTCAAGTCATTTTATTCAGATACTGGATTTCTTTACTTTATTAAAGTATGAAATACTAAATGCAGATGTCACTGCAACGAAAAGTAGACATCTTGCTTGATTTCGTGCTCTAAAGAGGATTACAGATAGATATATTGGTTTATCTGAGGTGCGAAAAATAGCTTAATGGCGCTGGAAAAGTCAGAAATGTGACGGCCTTTCACAACTTCATGAAATTAGTGCAGAAATAAACTTAACTGTTCACAAAAATGCCCTCCCAATTTTCTACAATCAATCTTCCTTTCCTGCGTGACTGTCACATGCTTTTTTAACTAGAGCAGTTTTATGGACTGTCCCTCGTAAAGTTTGAAGTCCTCTTAAAATTTTCTCTCATCACATATTAATGGTCCCCAGGTTGAATGTCACATGTGGCACTAAAAATTCCGATGACATCGAAGTTTCGAAATACTCTTATCAAGATTACATCATTTTACTAAGGATAGGTATTAATCGCGACAGATAGACTGTATAATGAATAGCCAATCAATATGATGTGACCTTTTCGTCAAGATTATTGGTTAACTTAATGTAAACGCACACGACGTGATGTGACCTTCAGTGTTCTTTGTTTTCTGTCACTTTATTTGTGTGTGCATGCAATTAGTTAACTGTTCATTATGTCCGTTTCCTCAATACTGTTCGGTACGTTTTTGTCTTTTCTTGAGTGACAATGGGTTTATATATTTTTATTGGTGTAATTGTTTGATTTATTTTGTTTTAGAAACAGATAAAGTTTAATCCAAATTGCTCTGTTTTTAACTATAATTAAGCCAAGACTCTTTGTTGTCAGCATTGATTAGAAGGAGAAAATCTGTAGGCAAAATTAATCCTACAATATGAGTGTTCGTTTGCATTTGGTAGATTTTCCAAAACATCGTGATAAGCATTCGTCTAACAACATACACCCGGTTCGATGTATCTTAAGTACCACAAACTTTCTCTTTTGACATTTTAACACTTCATATTAAATAAAGTGCAAGTCGTGATAAAAATCTCCTCAAAAGATTTTTCCAGCTCAGAAAATGAGTGCAGAAATGAAGCTATAATTATATAAATACATTGGCTATTTACGTGGAGCAAATACTACTTCGACGTTTCCTTCTTCAGGACTTGGCCAGAATATAGATTTAGCACCTGAAAAGTCCGAACCTCATAAAAGCATCCTCCCAGTGGCGTGGAGGGAGGATAAGTACCATCAGTTCGCACTTCAACTCAATGACTTATCATTATTGAATGCATGATACCCAGGAGTAGTGACCGACAAACCGAAATAAAGTCAGTGTCCCACAGATCGGTTCTGCTGCGTGGCAGTGGAGGATGAAGAAGTCAGCAGACTCAAACAAGACTCAAATACTTCAGTTAAACGAAGGATTTGTGAATTTCTGCTACGGAAATTCAAAGAGGCGTCGCTCGCTATTGGGTTTTGAACCACTGAGACAGACTAAGTGCCACTTT